AGGATCTCACTGACTCCTATGGTCCCAGCCTGGACCTCTCTTCTGGACTCCAGCTTTGTATTTATCTAGCTGCCAACTTGACATCTTCCTACACATGTCACCTGGGCAGCTCAAAGTCAACGAGATCACAATTTCACTGCACCTGCTCCCTAATCTGACTCTGATGATCCCCATTCCCGCCTCTTTTCACACTCACCACTCCAGCTTAGCCTCCTCCCAGAGCCTCAGGAAGCTGGGTTGGCAGAGTACCTTCCTGGGGTGTTAATCCACATGGGCACTGAAACATCGCTGGAATCGATCAGAAACATGATGCCGGTTTACGCAGTTTTCCATTCCTGTCTCCGGTCACTGGCAAAATGTCAATTGGCCCTATTCCCAATTGGTACATATGTTAGATACCTTATTTAGAATCTGAATATGTGACAAGAAAAAATGATTGTTATTTATGATCCTCCACTGCCTGGTAATGGAGGATCTTTCAAAGCTGAATGTGGACAATATCTTCGCCCTTCAAGTCTTTGATACGCCTGAAGAAAGTGTTAAGCTGTGGTTGAAATATCAAACGAGGAGTCAGATGCTGGGACAGAGGTAAGTTGCTCCTCATAAGAAAGGGAGCAAGACAGGGGACAGGAGAGATTGAGCTGCAAGGGGTTGGGGGCGGGAGGCAGGAGCTGGGGAGGTTGAACACTAGAAAACAAGAACAGGGAAGGCCAAGCTATTTGGCCAAGCTATTCAGGTATATTTCATATGCTGATATCTCCTAAATTAAGTTTCTAGCTGAGACCTCTCTCCTGAGTTGTAGACTTAGAGCCATGTGATAAGGAGAACTAGCACTTATAAAGCCACTTGTACTATATTCTGGCAACTAAGCTAAGTGCTTTACCTATGTGAACTCATGTCTCAGAGGCATTGCAAATTCAACCAAAACAGTATTCCTCATCTACCTGCCATTTCCAGACCTCTCCATGCAGATAACAATACTAGTTTGCCTCTAGGATTCCTCTTCTCAGTAACTGGCAATGCTATCCACCCAACTCTTCGCATCCTCCCACATCATCATCTCTCTCTGCGAGCCTCCTAATGCTCTCCCAGGACCCAGTCTGGCCTCTCTGCCACCCGTTCTCCACCTACCTCCAGAGTGACAGTTCACTAAAGCAGATCTGATGCTGGCAGTGCGTGGCTTCAAGCTTACCAGTGTTTCCCATTGCTTTTAGGATGAAGTCTAAATCCCTTTCTATAGTCCTTTCCATGCCTGGGCTGGCCCAGACTACTCCTGCAACTCCTCTCATGCTCATCTCATTTCCTTTGCTCACAATGCTCTGGCAGCTGAAACAAGGTTGAGAAGACCTGCTGGGGCGTCTTAAAAGGAGAAGCAAAGCCTGCAGAGGAATGGCCAGCCTGGGCCCTGGGGTTTGGCAGGCTCTGGGCTCAGCGTGAGGAGGAGGAGCCCCTGATCTTGGCTCAGTGAGTCTTTGCTCACTTCTGCATTATGGATCCTGATTAGTACCTGCCGGAGGGACGTCTAACAGCTCTGTGCTAAACTAGATCTTCTTTAGTCCACATTACTCATTCCTACTATGTGCCAGGAATGCCCTGGACTTAGCCTACCTACTAGATGCTACATACTGAGTGCTATAGACCATGTAACCTAGTCTACATTCTATCCATTATATAGGATATAATGAATACTATACCTATATTCTGTATACTTTATAAGATATAATAACAGTACACATTACAGTATATATACAATTGGTAATAAACAAAATGTATTAGATGGGTATTATATCTACTAGCAGTGTTTTGCCATAATAGGTATTTAGTAAATATATGTTGAATGAGGGAACATACCTCAACATAATAAAGGCCATATATGACAAACCCACAGCTAGTATCATACTCAGTGGTGAAAAGTTGAAAGCGTTTCCTCTAAGATCAGGAACAAGACAAGGATGCCCATTCTCACCACTTTTATTCAACACAGCAGTGGAAGTCCTAGCCACAGCAATCAGATAAGAAAAAGAAATAAAAGGAATCCAAATTGGAAAGGAAGAAGTAAAATTGTCACTGTTTGCAGATGGTATGATAATATATATAGAAAATCCTAAAGACCCCACCAAAAAACTATTAGAACTAATAAATGAATTCAGTAAAGTTGCAGGATACAAAATTAATATACAGAAATCTGTTGTACTTCTATTCACTAAAAATGAACTTTCAGAAAGAGAAATAAGGAAAATAATCCCATTTACAATTGTATCAAAAAGAACAAAATACTTAGGAATGATTCTAATCAAAGAGGTAGAAGACTTGGAAAACTAGACATTGATGAAAGAAATTGAAGATGACACAAATAAATGGAAAGATATACTGCACTCATGGTTTGAAAGAATTAGTATTGTTAAAATGACCGTACTCTGCAAGGCAATCTACAGATTCAATGCAATCCCTATCAAAATACCAATGGCATTTTTCACAGAGCTAGAACAAATAATTCTAAAATTTGTATGGAAACACAAAAGACCCCAATAGCCAAAACAATCTTGAGAAAGAACAAAGCTGGAAGTATCATGCTCCCTGATTTCAAACTATACTACAAAGCTACAGTAATCAAAACCGTATGGTACTGACACAAAGCAGACCCATAGATCAGTGGAACAGACTAGAGAGCCCAGAAATAAACCCATGCTTATATGGTCAATTAATCTATGACAAAGAAGCCAGGAACAGAAAATGGGGAAAAGACAGTTTCTTCAATAAATAGTGTTGGGAAAACTGGACAGCTGGATGCAAAAGAATGAAACTGGACTACTTTCTCAAACCATATACAAAACTAAACTCGAAATGAATTAAAGACTTAAATGTAAGACCCGAAACCATAAAACTCCTAGAAGAAAACATAGGCAGTATGCTCTTTGACATTGGTCTTAGCAATATTTTTTTGGATCTGTCTCCTCAGCAAGGGAAAAAAAAGCAAAAATAAACAAATGGGACTACATGAAATTAAAAAGCTTTTGCACAGCAAAGGAAACTACCAACAAAATAAAAAGGCAATCTACTGAACAGGAGAAGACATTTGCAAACAATTCCAATATCCACGATATGCAGAGGACTCATACAACTTAACATCAAAAAAAATTGAAAAATTTAAAAATAGGCAGAGGATCTGAATAGACATTTTTCCAAAGAAGGCAAACAGATGGCCAACAGGCATATGAAAAGATGCGCAACGTCACTAATCATCAGGGAAATGCAAATCAAACCCACAATGATACCACCTCATATCTGCCAGAATAGCTATCATCAGAAAGACAACAAATAACAAGTGTTGGTGAGGATGTGGAGAAAAGGGAACCCTCAGGAACTGTTGGTGGGAATGTAAGTTGGTATAGCCACTATGGAAAACAGTATGGAGTTTCCTCAAAAAATTAAAAGTAGAACTACTATATAATCCAGCAATTTTACTTCTGGTTATTTACCAGAAGAAAACAAAACTACTCATTTGAAAAGATATATGCACCCCGGTGTTCGTTGCAGCATTATTTACAATACCCAAGATATGGAAGCAACGTAAGTGTCCATCAACAGATAAATGGATAAAGAAGATGTGGTATATAGACAATGGAATATTACTCAGCCATTAAAAAAGAAATGAAACCTTGCCATTTGCAACAACCTGGATGGATCTAGAGAGTATTGTGATAAGTGAAATAAGTCAGACAGAGAAAGACAAATACTGTATGATATCACTTACATATGGAATCTAAAAACCAAACCAAACAAACAAAACAAGCTGAAAACAGACTCATAGGTACAGAGAACAAAAGAATGGTTGCCAGAGGGGAGGAAGGTGGGAAGGTGGGTGAGATAGGTGAAGGGGATAAAGAGGTACAAACTTTCAGTTATATAATAAATAAGCCACGAGGATGTAATATACAGAATAAGGAATATGGTCAATAATATTGTAATAACTTTACGGGGACAGATGTTACTAGAATTATCATGGTGATCATTTCATAATGGATACTAATGTCAAATACTATGTAGTACACCTGAAACTAACTCAGTATTGTACATCAAATATATTTCAATTAAAAGTGTATATATAATCTTGAATGAATGAAAACAATACTTACTCAACACTATGGCATTCTGACAGAGCCTCGTCATTGAGGATTTATTCTTTCAACCCTTCTTTCTTAGCTGTCTCTTTAAGGCAGTTTCCTTCTTTTACCACGTGTCCTGGCTCCTTTGGGACAGGCAAATTCTTTGGCTTACCCAAGTCTGAGCTCTAAGTGTGCGCACATGGAGCACGCAGAGCTGAGTGTGCACCTGGAATATCAAGGCTCTCAGTGGGTTTGGAGGGAAGCCTGCCACACCTTCCAGCCCCATCCAGAGAGAGTGTTCCGGCTGCCCTGCGATTCCTGAGAACAAAGTTCGAAGTCACAGAACTGGAAAGGGTGTTAGTGACAGAGAGTCCAGCCCAGCTCTCTCAGAAATTATAGGCCCTACTCTCTGCTCCTCAGACCAACTAGGACAGGCAGGGGGTCTGACTGCTCCTTAATTCTTCGTAGCAATAGTTTCTCCCCTGTTTCTGGGCTGTCACCAGCTCCACTGGTTTTGAACAAGTGGCCAGAAAGCTTGGGGTACCTTCCAAAGCCCCCAGGATGGATGAATGGAACGAAGGTGGAAGGAAGAAAGGAAGGAAGGGAGGGAGGGAGGGAGGGAGGTTGGGAGAGACGGAAAAATAAAGGAGTAACCCTAGCCGGCGAGGCTGAACCCCTCGCGGAATCCACCCACTCCCATACCGCCCTCCTCCTATTCTCAGGCCGCCGCTCTTGCGTCCCACGTCCGGCTGGGGCGCACCGAGGGAGCATGCGGGGAAGCGTTTGACTTGGCACGGGGTTGGGGGTAGGGCAGCAAGGGCGAGGGGAGGTGGGGGAGGAGAGGTGGGGAAGGGGAGGGCCTTGGAGGAGGAGGAGAGGAGGGGCGCGCTGGGAGCCGGCGCGGCGGAGGGGGCGACTGGCGCCGCGGGAGTTGGGCGCCTGGCTGCGGCGCGGGCGGGCAGGCGGGTCGAGGGACGCGATGCCGACCCCGCCGCCGCCGCCGCCGCCGCCTCTTCCTCGCCGGCCGGGGCTGCGCCGCCGGGGCTGAGCCGCCCTAGAACCGCGAACCGAGCGGCCGCTGGGCGCGCCAGCAGCGCAGGAGGATGGGCTGCGGCGGAAGCCGGGCGGATGCCATCGAGCCCCGCTACTACGAGAGCTGGACTCGCGAGACGGAGTCCACATGGCTCACCTACACCGACTCGGACGCGTCGCCCAGCAACGCCACCCCGGACAGCGGCCCCGAGGCGGGCGGCCTGCACGCAGGTGAGTGCGCCTGGCTCCCGCAGACCCCCAGCGCTGGGAGGCTGGGCACGGGAGGGGGAAGCGGGAGGGACGCGGGGCGCCGGGGCAGCCCAGTCCCCCAGAGAATTCTGTGCGGAATGGTGTTGGTGGTGTTGGGGCCGGGGGAGGAGCGGGGAGGCGGGAAACAGACAGCACCTGTCTGCTGACAGACTGACCGACCCAGGCCCAGGGAGCAGGGCCAACCAGAGACCCCTACAAAAGGCTGAGCTAATCCCCTGGGCCTCGCGGAAACCCCGCACCTCTTGGACTCCGCCCGTGCCTGCTCATTGGCCGGGGCCGGGTTGGGTGGGAGGACAGCCCGCGCGGCTCGCACACCTATCCCGCCGCCCACCCAGGCTTCTCGCCCGCTTGGACTCGCCTCCGCTGGATTTTGGCCCGTTTCCTCCTCTGGCCGCCTGGGCACTCTCTCCCTTGATTTATAGACTGGTCCAGATTACCTGGGTGGTTTCTTCCTCGTGGCTTCCCCCTTTTCTCCCGTGTCTCGAGTTTTGAAAACCAGAATCCTAGTTCAGGGCAAAATAAACAACGGCCGCCCCATCACTAGTTCTGCACTTCAGCTTACTTTTCAGGCAGTTGTTTCATAGCAAGGACTTCCTCTCTACCCCACGGTGCCTCGATGCTTTATATGAGGCAGGGCATGAAAGCGGATTACGACTATAAATTACTCTTACCATTCTGGCAGAAATCTGATAGAAGGATATGCAAAGAACCTTCTGGACCTGTCACAAATCACATTTTGTTTTTTCTTTTAAAGCAGACAGTAATAATTGTAACGTAGAGATGAAAACAGACTGTTGCCACAGACTGACCTTTAATCATAAACTTGTTAGTGACGTTAAATGGAAAAAACCTCACTGCTTATTACATGGATGTTGTCAGAAGCCAGATCAATATTTGTATAAGAATGTTTTAACTATTTCCCTTTATGTTGCTGGCATTTTTAAATATTGAAATGTAAAATAGAAAATGAGGTTAATTTGAAGAATAGCATATATTATAAGGAGGAGGAGAGAAATGTCAACTACTCCTAACACATCAGTAGTCCTAAATTCCTGCCTCCTGAATAAGAGCTGTCACTTTAATCCTGAGACTCTGTCTCCATCTTTTAGGACCAAGCTGGGTCCTTTTTCACATGAACTTTGTGATTTTTTTTTTTAAGTGAGAACCGTCAGTGAAAATTGTGCAAGGCATAATACTTCATTTGTCTCTAATTTTTCTGACTCACAGTAGCAATCAAAATGGTTATTTCGTATTGCTGCTGCTTTCAGTGGGCTTTCAAATGGTGTTGGCTGAATTCAGTGTCAGAATGAGGATAAGACATGAGCCTTCAAAATAGACCTGGTAAATGTTAGATGTAACAACATTTCCTGAGGAGGTATGGTACCTCTCAGGAGACACTCAAAAAGACCAGAGCTGCACTCCAAGGAAATAAGGTTAAAAACATCTAACATGGAAAAGAACAAAGTACAGCTTCAGGGAATGGTTGCCTTGGTGACTGGAAGTATATAGTGTATGTGTGTACATGTGTATGAGTGTGAGAGAGTTATTATGGGATGACTAAATATGTACATATTTATTTGTTTCCAATGCTTATTCATTTATTACTCTGCCATCCTGAGTCATGTCCCATCATGCATCATGAGATCTGGTTCCCGCAACAGGTGGGGTCCGGGACAAGCATGCTCATTCGTGGTACCCTACCAAACATGGGACAGCCCTGCCAGGCAAGTGGTCCTGAAGACCTGAGTCATTCACAGGAAGGGTTCGGCTCCAGTCTCAGAACAGTGCCCTGAAATTGGCAAGACACTTAGATGGGCAGGATCATTTCAATTCCCTAGAAATTTCCATCAGCCTCAGAGGAGAGGAACATTTCTGAAGGTCAAGATGGACTCAAGCTGTCCCTGGAAATCCACTGGCATTCCCTTTAGAGCCTTTAGAAAAAATGTCTTCTTGATTCTTGTGGATTTTCCAGACTAGCAACTTGTCATCTTTGGTCAGAGTGGGTCATTGGAGAAAGCGACCGTTCTCCTGGGTTTCAGCCACCCTGCGAGATTAGCCAGCATCCTTTATTTTTTTCTTCCCTCCTGCTCCCCCAGCCTCACCCACCTGCTGCCAGTGCACCACCTGTGAATTCAGTTCCAGTCTTCTGGGGGGCACCCACTGGCCCGCAGTGACTGTGTGGTGATGAGAAGCCAGAATGCCACTTTTTCCTGTTTCCATCAACTCTTTTCTGATGGGGGGACAAAAGGAAAAGCTGGATTTAGGGAAATTCAGGTTGTAAAATCATCACTAAGGCCTTCATGACTAGAACTCTAGAGCTGGAGAGGCTCTCTGAAGGTCATCTGTTGAAGGCAGATGGGATTCAGTTAAGTTGCCCTGTCTGCACTGCACAGCCTCCCAGTCCTTTCACAGTTCTTACCCCCAGCTCCCTCAGTCCTCAAGACTGGGCCCCTGGTCACTCTCCTTTAGTAGCAAATTGAAGCCACTTTTCTTCTAGCCCTCCCAACCTCAGGAGCTCTGAGGGCAGGGAGTGGACTAATGCATCTTTATATCTTGTGCTTAGCCAGTTACACTGTGGAGCCCCCAGCTGGGATTTTCTTGAATGCGTAGGCTCTCCGTTTAACCCTCCCCTCCCCTGTCAGCTCTTCCTAGATTCCCTCCCCCTTTGCTCTGCCTTGCATCCCTTGCTGCCGATGTTTTCCCACTTGAATGAGTTTAACCTAGATTCCTCCAAGTGTCTTTCTGAGCCCACAGCTTTTCTTTAACAAGTGCCCCCAGCTTTGCCCTACCCCATTGAAACCCCTGGCCCAGCTCAAAGATGCCATTTCTTCTGTAGCGCCACCACCCCTCAACCTCAACTCCACACCCATATCTACCAAAAAGCCCTATTTAAGCACATCTGCTTGTAAACCTCATTTCTATTTCTCTTAGTCCAGTCCAGATTGAGGTCACGTCACATGACAGGTGTTCAGTATTTGTTGAATGAATTCTGCATTTAACCGCAGGAAGGAGGCATGTTTTTCTGCCAGTTCCACAAAGGAGAGAGTTTCTTTCCTTCTTCTCCTTACTTACAGGATCCTTACATGATCCTGAGCCTTTGATCTCTGTGTTTGGGGATCACCTCCACTTCCCAGCAGAATTCGATTTTTAGATTTAGCTATTATGTAGGCTGGAATTAAAGACCTAACTGAAGCCGCAGTATCTGATATCCATTGCTTCTCTGTGTCATCGAAGCCTGTCTCTCTGTCACAGGAGGAAATTAAATTGGTCTGGTGTGATTTAGTTCTCATAACATCAGTTTACTGGATTGATTTTTACCTCTGTGGTCTGATGGAGGTCTCCTATGGAGAAAGGGGGTCTCTGAGGTTGCTCTGCCCCAGCCTAGCTCAGCCATTCCATACGTGAATAACTTCCTAGCTTCACCTCAGTTTAATCACGAGTCCCTTAAATTACATCCTTAAAGATCCCCTTTTCTTTCTTTTTTTTTTAAACCTAGTATAGGACATAGACTATTTTAGATAGTCTATAGATTTTTTCTTTTTGGCTTCATTGGGTTGGGTCTTCGTTGATGCGCGCGGGCTTTCTCTAGTTGCAAGCGGGGGCTACTCTTCGTTGTGGTGCGTGGGCTTCTCCTTGCGGTGGCTTCTCTTGTTGTGGAGCACGGGCTCTAGGTGCGTGGGCTTCAGTAGTTGTGGCACGTGGGCTCAGTAGTTGTGGCGTACAGGCTTAGTTGCTCCACAGCATGTGGGATCTTCCCAGACCAGGGGTCAAACCTGTGTCCCCTGCATTGGCAGGTCCCTCCCCTTTTCTACTGTTAGTATTTTTCTAATGTCTCTAGAGAATAAAACATTTCAAATTTCTCTAAAATGCTTCCACTTTATAGTTTTAAATTGCTATAATAAGTGCTTTAGTGAATGCAAGATGGAAGATTGCAGAATTAGACTCACAGCAAAATGATTTATCTAAATCAATTGAAATATGTCAGGTGAAATGAAGAGCACTTAGTATTACCATTAGCTAACATTTATTGATATCTTACCAAGGGCCAGGCACTATACTTAGTGGCACTTTATGTAAATCATCTCTCTTAATCCTCACGAGGGGGGATGAGGTAGAACTATGCTATCCTTCTTTTGCAAGTGAGGGAATGAGGCTTAGAGTGTGCAGTAACTTTTCCCGATCCAAGACTCGAATCCAGCTTTTTCTGAATCCAAAGCCCGCACTCCTAAATCCTGCCCTCCTGATGAATGGGGGGATCAACTATAGAATTCTTGATTTGACAGTGGACGGAACTCAAAGTCTAGTGTGGTCTCTTGGCAGTCTAGTCTGGTCTCAGCACAGTTTTCTTCCGCAGCATCTCTGAGGAAGGGATATCTCTTCCCTAGGGATGGAGGTCTACCCATACCTTTGTGGAGCAGTTTCCCTTGCAAGAAACTCTTCCTGCTGCCTTGTAATTTCCACCTGGTCTCACATAGATCGTTCCTTCAACATTTGAAGATTGCTGTTGTATTTTCTCTCACTGTTGGTCCGCCAGGCCAAACACATGCAATTCCTTCAGTCATTTCTCAGACTTCTGTGGGACTGACCATATTTCTACAAAGGCACCGTTTGGTTTGTCAAAGTCCCTCTTGATACAAGGGACCTATGCTGCTGACGTCAGCTGAAGAGCAGAAGGAAATATGAGGTCTGTTATGATGTGGACACTGACCCTTTCCCGATGCAGGTAAAACCAGGTTAGGATTTGTTTGTTTTCCTGCTGTTGTTGTTGCCATATTACCTTGATGACTCACATGAAGCTTGCAATTAGTTAAAACCCTTAGATCTTTCTTTCTGGTCACATTTAAGTTCTATGACATCAGTGACATCGTCTGGTTTTCACTCTACATACCCAGCACCTGGAACAGTGTCTAGAATATAGGTGACACTCAATAAATGTTTGTGGAATGAGTGAATTTTTTTCC